ACTTTTGCAAGTGTAACCGACTCTACTAGTGGTGCATCGGGTAGTGGTGGGGGTCGAACGGATTTTCATCTCGACCTCTATAACTACCTTTCGGAGGAACAAAACAAAAGAGCACGCATATTAACCCCTAGTAGCGAACTTGGAATTTATATGGGGTCAAACTTTTTAAAATTCATGAGTGCACCACAATTTAAAATTTTGGATCTTTTGGATTGGTGGAGAGAAAAGGAAGCACAATTTCCTATTCTCTCCGTCATCGCTCGCGATTTACTAACCGTCCAAGCTTCCACGGTAGCTTCGGAATCCGCTTTTTCTTTTAGTGGTAGAGTTTTATCAAAGTTGAGGATGAATATTACCCCGGTTGCGGTAGAGGTTTGCGTTTGCTTGAAGGATTACTTGGATTCGGTGGAACGTATACAACACTTGGCATCACTCGAAGGCCCACTACCACAAAATGTTGAACCGGAGATCATGGATGAAGAATATGCACAAGGCTTATCAACACCTCCGGAAGAAGAAGACGATGACGATGACGATGAAGACGAAGAGGAAGACGAAGATGAAGAATATGGTATTGATGAGACCCCTAGTTATTTGCGTGGCGGTTGAAGAATATTTTAGTGAATGCGACACGAAGTGGATGACCACAAAAACTATTTCTATTTGGCTAAATGTTATAACGCCACTTTATTATTATTATTATTATTATTATTATTATTATTATTATTATTATTAGTTAACTAGTTTGAAATCTCTTTCTAATTCGACGTTTGATGTATGTTTTAACTATTTTAATGAAACTATGTTGCATTTTGTGTTATATATGAGTTCCAAAAAGAAATTTAAAAAAAAAATTGGCAAAAATCATATCGTATTTCGGATCGGATCCTAACCGGATCGGATTAAACCGATTCGGATTCGGGGGAGGAAAAACCGGTCAAATCCGGTCAAAACCGGTTTCAAACCGGATCAGATTTTGGCTTAATTCGGATTGGGTGTGACGTCACGGAACCGGATCGGATTCGGATCCGGATCGGATCGGATCGGATCTGAGGTTTGTGCAACCATCGAGTCTCAAACATCCCTTCACTATGACACAAGGATGATTTACTACGAACCAAACTTCACCTGCTTACAACAGAACTGATGAGGAGATTACCACCTCCTATCTTAATCATCGACTGACCCACATTCGATCTCTCCTCTCTCGAGCTCAGGAGATAGGAAAACACAACCCTGATACAGAAAGTAACATCCCTTGCCATGGGCTGACCACTCAACCTTAGGCTGCTATCCTCGAGTCGATCATCATAGCGACTTCCTTCCCGAGTCCCATAACTCAAACTAGCACTTTAGGAATTATTGGAACGATAGATTCTAAAATGAAAACGTCATATAAAGATGTAAATGATTTGGATGAACACAAGATGTAAATAAGATCTTTTTACATTTATGGACATAGAGAACAATTCGTTACAATGTGATTGTGCAGAACTATTCTATGTGTAAAAACTCTATCGACTATACTAACTAATGCCTCTATATATAGGCGTAAGAGGAACACTAGAAAGGAACCCTAAGTCAATAGTTCAGAACTTCAAACCTAAGATTAAATAAATTTTGAAATCGGAATAACAACAACTCATTTCGGAATTAAGAAAAGACACTAAACATTACAATTTGATTGCGAACAACGCATACAACTAGACAAAACCTATTTCCGACACCTAACAATCTCCCCCTTTGTGTCAAGTTGATGTTGTGATCTTTTCTTCATTTTTCTTCACAACATCAAAAACCTTCGGAATAGTATTCAATAAAGTCATAATAATAACTATCCACCATTTTATCATATCAAAAAGACACTTTAAACCTCATTCTTTATTTGACTCGTTCACTTCAGCCTTTGCAAGGATTTGATTCTGAGTAGAAATAGAGTATAAATGTTTATCTCTTAATAACATTATACAGTGCTTCACCACTTCATTCTCTTTCATCTTGTAAGACACTCCCTCAAGTTCTTTTTTAATAAACCAGATTTGAATTTTTCCACATTATCAGGAATTGGAAATGGCTTTAGAATAGGCTTCCGATTAAGAACATCTACAATTTCAACATTCATCTTTGCAATTTCAAGAATATATGTCGGTATCATCCTTCTCAAAAACTAAAAGATAGGCTCATACTTCACAGTGTCCTTTGTAATATTATTGAACAAAGAAATCCAATCATAAAGATTCATAAATGGAATATCAGCCAAAGATAATACATGAACCTCCTGATTATGACTCCCAAAAGCCTTCAAACTGACATTTGCAAAGCCATCAACACCCATAGGTTTTCCACTTCCAATGCAACAATCCTCTTCAAGCTCCAGGATTCATATTGTGTCATTGAATTATTTACGTAAAAATTGAATAGCTTCTTGTTATTGATTTATTCGCCAAAGGAGCTTTCACAATTGAAATCAAAGTATCAGAATAGAAAGGCTTTAGCAGAAATAGGAAAATCCAACTGACAATCCATTTCGTTCTTAACTGAGAAAGAAGTCTGAGGTTCCAACCAAAACAAATTCGGATTATCAATTGCTTCTTTTTGAATCCGATATACAGTCCCATCCGGAAACATAACCTTCTTTGTAGTAAGAGGTTCCTTAACATTCTTCTCTTCAGCTTCTTCTGCTTTAATTTTTGTTTTTAAGGTGCTTAAGGCATAAATCTTTTTGTCATGTTTTTCTCTTTCTTTCAATTCCTTTTCTGAATTAGGATTCAAATCATAATTTTCTTCCGAGACAATATTCACCTTTCGTTTCCCTGATCCAGAAGATACATTACCCTTCCGACCAATGTTTATTTCTCTGAGATTTTTCAATTTTTCTTTCAAAGACTGTTTTTCAACAACTTTCGTAGCATCAGACTTAGCCATTTTTCTTGTCTGATAAGGATTTCTCAAATGGAGTTCATGAATTTCATCCTTATTTATAGGAACTTCACCTTCATTCGCTTCTTATTCTCCTTCACCATCTCCCCCTTGTTGCGCAGTAGCTAGGATATGCGTAACATCTAAAACTTCATTCAACTTCAAAACAAGTGGCTTCATTTTTGCATCAATCAGTTGCGACGTGTCGTCAGCAAAAGGAGCATCCTCGTTCTTAACAATTTTAAAAAGATGTTGATTTATTTCAGAATTATGGCCTTTAACCAAAAGTAATTCTTTATTCTCCTTGGAAAGCTCAATCATATCATTCTTTAATTGTTCCTTGAGGACTTTGATCTTTTGTGTTGATTCAGCAAGAGAATCCATGAATTTGTTTTCATGGGCAAGATCAGTCTGCATTCTGAACATAGAGTTGACAATGGATGTATGATGATCTGCATTATCACGTTGAAGACCAAAATGAAGACCAGAGAGAACTTCCTTCTGATTTTGAAGGGATAGACAAAACCCTTCAATTACCTAATTAACTTCAGCAACATTCTTATCAGAAGAATTTTGAAAATTAGTCATAAACTGCTTCACATATGAAAACATTTCCTTAACATCCGAAGCAACTTTATCAATTCTGGCATTTGACTCTTCAATTTTCTTAGCTATTTTTGCAGCTAATTTCTTTTGATATTCAAAAACATTAGCACTAGATTGAGTCAGCATCTCTATAGTTGCTTGATGAGATGTAACCATATTTTGCCAATTTTTTGTAGAAAAATAATTTGTATAGAGAAGAATCTAATCAATCTTTTTTTTTCCGGCTCACGAAGTTCACCACGCAATATTGGAGCAGATAAACCAACCTCATCCTCACTTTCAACTCAAAATTTAAAATTAGAAATAGAAAAATAATCGAGTGATTTAGGTTCATCACCAACAATAAAATCTGCATCAGAACTTGGAGATACAGGAGGAAAAAAAGTCGATGGAGGTTCCAAAGTAGTCACACCAATGTTAACATTTGAGTCCATATTAGATGTGTTCTCATGGATGTTTGAAGTTCTATTCTCCTCCTTATCATATTCGAAAGTAGAAGCTTCTGGTACATTATCTGTGGTTGGAGTCAGTTGAGATATTGAAGGAGTCGTTGTGGAGTTAGCGAAGATCGGAGACTGAAATGGTAAAGTGGTTTGATATAGGGATGTTGGTTCAGAAATGGATTTCGCAAGAAGTGGTTTGGAAGATTCGATAGGAACAAATGTTGATATTGTAAGAGGTGGTGGTGGGGTTTGAGAAATATTGATGATGGGATCATTGAATATATATTCAAAAACATCAGACTTAGGTGGAGTCGATAACAGAGTAGAATCTTTCAGAGTTGCAATAGAGACAATTGGTTCAGAAGTATTAGGAGGGACTTCTGAAGTATGAGCAGTATCATCTACATTGACAAACATTTCTTCACCCATAAAATTACTGTGGAGTTTGATAATTTGAGTGTTCATCAATCATAGTTCGCCCATACTTTGGCTTTCTTTGTTGCTTCGATTTCTCAGGAACGCCACAAGAAGCTTGCAATTTCATTTTTCCACCTCTTTTTGGCATATCAACAGTTGCAATACATGTTTGTAAAGAGGCATGAATTTCACGAATACCAGAGTTCAGATTTTCCCTGTAAGCCTTGATAATATTGTTATCAAGAGGAACCCTAGCCAACATCACATGTGCATTAGAACCAATAAAATCAAAATTCTTAGGATCAGAAGTAACAAATGTAGTCGTTTGCATTTTAGGAATCATAACAACCACAACATCCTTCATCTCTGGCACATGGTAATGATTTAGGGCACGACGAACCACTATTGACGAAAATCTAGCACAACAAATTTCTGAATCTTTGTTATTGGAACTTTTGAGAAAACGGAGTCCAAACAACAGTTCCATCGTCAAAATTCTCCCCAATAAAGAGTCCATACATCAAGGTGTAGAAAACCTTGATCGCACTATCAGAACCAGTAACCCTTTCCGATAGACTCTTGAACAAAATAGTAAATGGTGCATTCCATACGGGAGGCAAAGCAGATTTCTTGAACTTTGATAAAAGAGTAAGATCAAACTTGTACCCTATTTAATGAAACGTTGTAAGAGACGATAAATTGCTACCGAATCGGGATGAATAACATCAGGAGAAGAAGAAAACCCTAGCAATTTGCTGAAATCCGCTTTTGAAATTGAAGTTTTGTGCCCAAGAACTTCAAAATTGATCACCTCTTAAGTACTATGGTATATAGAAGTTGAGTACGCCTGAGATAAGAGAGACAAAGGAACCTTCTCAAACATCAACAAAGCCTTCATCAATGGAGAGTATTTCAGGCATTCTATCAAAGGCCGAATTGTAGGGTTATACTTCAAAGCTTCCAAATCGGCCACCAAATTCTGATTGACTCTGATTTTCAACATGGGAGTTGATGCGGTTTGGTCTATGAAAGAAATATTCTCAGAAGAATCCATTTATAGTTGAAGAATGCTTGCAAAGAATCGAAGAATAGTAGAGAGAATTGTAGAAGTCTGTGAACACTTTTATGAGCATAGAAAGTAGAACGTACAACTCATAAGCTTTATATAGGCTTGGATAACAGAACGAGTTTTATTTGAATTTGAACCGGTTTGCATAAGGGGAGAGAGAAACCATCATTCACACACTAAATGCCTGTCACCCCCACATTAACCAAGAATTACCATGCCTGTCTTGTCAAAAATTAAGGTCCGCTAGAAAATTGACAGCACATCATTCATTGTAACTGCAATTGACGCCGTTTGAAATTGAAAGAATACCATCATTGAACTTGAAGATATGCGCCAAGGTTTGATTTTCCATTTTTGAAACATTCCATTTCAATTTGCAAAAGTTCCATAATGTCTAATCCACCCTTTAGCTTTGCATAAGCAAAAATAGAATCCATTGGAATTACGATTAGGATTATTTTTGCCCGCAATTGTAGTAACCAAATTGAAGAAGAGTTTCATCTAGTCATTGGAAGAATGAATTGAATCATTAACTAGACTTTATGAAATCTTGGTTCAGATTGGTTTTATGTGAGACCTCGAGGATTTCAAGTGAAGTGTGTGAAAGTGCTAGAGAAATTAGATTTTTGGAAATAGAAAAGATTGGTTGTGCATCACATTATCCTATGGTGATAGTAGGCGATCATCACACAAAATTTTATAACACCATATGTTCCAAATTGTTTTTATTCGAAACCTAGGGGTGTTATGTGCAATATGATAGAGATATGGACGAAAGAAATAAATGGAATGAGAATGGAATTGTTTTATGGGTCTTACTCTTCATAATGGTGATAATGAAGAAAAGATCATAAACACAGGCTTGTTGCATACCTACATCCTAGTTGTCTTTTAGTAGAGATTTCTTAGGATATGCATTATGTGTGCTTAGCATAAGAAATATAAGATTGGAATAAGAAACAAGTTTTTCACACTCTCATGGTGAATGATCATAAAAATAATTATTGAGAAACCATAACTCCGAGTTGGTATTGACTCGAAAGATCAAGGGTTAATAAAAAATTATTGTTGAGTAAACTGTCAATTCCTTAAGGCATAGAAAAAGGAACCCTATGTTTGGATTTGTATATACCCAAGACATCATCACTTTCCAAGATTGGTTAAAAGAAATAATAACTATGCTACGAAAAATGGACCACCTATTGGAAAGAAATTCTTAGAACAAGAAATTTCATTAAGACATTTTTCAACAAAAGAATCTTTGAGACTTCAGACAACATACTGCAGCATGCTTCTAGGGACTCCTAACTAGTAAAATTTTGAAAAGAAGAATACTTGATCCCCAAGAAAGTAGTCGTGTCATGGCAATGCAACAATTGTTAAAACATAAACTCATTATTTTTGGATTTTCGAAATATTTGAAATTTATAAACAAATATAAAGAAAATCTTTTTGGATTTTTGAAAATTTTGAAATTTAAAAACAAAAATAAAGAAAATCTTTTCGGATTTTTGAAAATGTTGAAATTAAAAAATATAAAGAAATTCTTTTTCGATTTTTGAAATAAAAAAAATAAAGATAAAATAGTTACCTAGTGCACCGGCCTACGTACCATCGTACCCTCTTGCAACTAAGAAGTAACTGCAAGACAAAAAAAATAATAAAACCAATTTGTGAAAACAGTCAAAACTCAGGTTAGGACTTATCTAGAACCTTGTCATTAATACCCTAATTTATTAATCGGAACATATGACGTGCTTAACTAGTTTAAGTACTTATCAAACTCAATTTGATTAAATCATGATTTGATTTAATTACAAGTTGGAAATAATATCCAAATATCATAATTTGAATTATGAGCCAGCAAAAGTATAATTCAACTATTGTTTAATCCTACATTCATATGTTATGAACCTTTGTTCATTTATTTGAAATATAAGAATTTGATTTTATAAAAATCAAATCATAAGTTATCATTTTGATAATTTAATTCAAGAGAATACAAGTTTATAAACTTATTTCTAAAAACAAAACACTTGAATAAAAACCAATAAATGAACTCTTGGAAGTTTATAAAAATACATGGAATATTGATAAAAACTAAAAATGATTTTTATAAAAATGATTAAGATGAATAAAAACCATATTTATTCAAAATGAGACTTTCAAAGCCTCTTTAATGCCTTCTCTTCTACCAAAATTCTTTCATAGGTTCTCTCTCTCTCTTTTTCTCTCTCTCACTCTTTATTCTTTGCTCCCATGATGCAAAATCCCGAGGTTAGATTTTGCATGGCACTTTGAGAGAGTTGTGACAACCGTAATTTCTATTCTTGTAAAAGTCAAATTTGGTCAACTAAAGTCAAAACTTATCCAATAAAAGTCAAACTTGTGCTTTGATGTAATCTCAAGGTTAGATTAATAGCCTTTTCAAGGTAAAACAGTTAGTTAAAAGGGTTGTAGAAATTTGAAAA